CCCCAATGGCATTTTTTATTATTTATTTTCTATTTTTTTTTAAATTCTCATGGTATTTTTTTAAAATTCCTCTTATTGGTAATTTTTTTTATTATTTTATTTTTTTTTATTTTGTTTATATATTTTTTTCATTCTTTGGTGGTTTTTTTGATACTTTTCATTGATAGTTTGTTAGTAGTTTATTAAAGATTTATTAGTACTTTTATTAGTGATTTTTCAGTGGTTTTGTCCTTTTATTAGTAGTTTTTTTGATCCTTTCATTCATAATTCTTTGGTGATTTCATCCTTTTGTTAGTAATTCTTTGATAATACTTTAATGATTCTTTAATGATTTGTTAATACTTTCGTTGATATTTTTTAGTGATTTTGTCCTTTTATTAGTGATTCTTTGATCCTTTAGTTCATGATTTTATCCTTTTTTTAATAGTTCTTTAATGGTACTTTGGTGATTCTTTAGTGATTCTTTAGTGGTTCTTTAATGGTTCTTTGATATTTTCATTGATAATTTTTTAATGGTTTTATACCTTTGTAAATAGTTCTTTAATTTTTTCTTTAGTAATTCTTTGGTACTTTTTTTGGTAGTTTTTCAGTACTTTTGTTGGTAATCTATTTAGTCCTTTCATTGGTAATTCTTTGGTCCTTTTATTGATGGTTCTTTGGTACTTTTATTAGTAGTTTTTTGGTATTTTTATTGGTAATTCTTTGGTTCTTTCATTAATGATTCTTTAATAGTTTCATCCTTTCATTAGTGATTCTTTAATTCTTTCATTAGTACTTTTATTAGTGGTTCTTTAGTCTTTTCATTAGTGATTTTTTAATCATTTCATTAGTGATTTATTGATAGTTTTTTAATACTTTCATTAGTACTTTTATTGGTAGTTCTTTAATATTTTCATTAGTAGTTTTTTGATCCTTTCATTGGTAGTTCTTTATTTTTTTACTTCTTTAAGTTCTTTGCTTCTTTATTCTTTGTTTCTTTAATACTTTTGTTCTTAGATTCTTGTTTCTTTACTTCTTTGTTTCTTTGCTTCTTTGCTTCTTTAGTACTTTCATTTTTGAGTTTGGTTTTTTATTTCTTTGGTACTTTATTTTTTGGTTATTTAGTTTTTTGTTTCTTTAGTACTTTTATTTCATTGGTTTTTCTTTCTTTTCCTTTTTTTTTTTTTTTTTTTTTTCTTTTTTGTTTTTTATTTTTCATTCTCATTTTTTTTTAAACATAAAATAAAATAAAAAAGAATAAAATAAAAATAAAAAAATAAAAATAAAAAATAATTAAAATAAAGATTTTGCCAGATCTCAGTGATTTGTTTGTTTTTGTATTATATTACCAATTTTATTTATTGGTTTTTCTAAATTAAGCAATTAATGATTTCACAATCTGTCTGAGGAGACAGTGTGACTTTTTTATTAATGAACTTACTAACGTAATATATTATAGGAAATCTATATATAATATTAATTTAAAATTAAAGTAATACAAAAAATTTATAAGTATACTATATAAAATTTTTTTATAAAGAATGCATTTACAGAGAATATATATATAAAATATGTGCATTTGATACTAAGGTCCAAGTTGAAATCAGATAAAAAGATGCATTTATGAAGGGTATGCATTTATAGAGAGTGCATTTATAAAGAGTTAACTGTATAAGTTTAGTATTATGATGGTTTGCACTTAATTTAGGATAAAAATAATTTACCTAATTTAGAAATTGGTAATAAATTATTTTTTAATTCCTGAATAATCACATGTTCTAAAAAGTAGTTTATACTTAAATACTCATATTACTGAATAATTATGTGTTCTTTTACTATTTTATGTACTTATCGCTCTTTCCTAATATTATGAAACTAGTAATGCTGTAAATGTGTTACTTCTGATTAGCTTTGAGGATGCAATGATTTTTTTTAATCCATAACCTTCAATCACTTCCATTTATGATATTTATACTGCAGAGTATAAAGAGTAAAATAAATACAAATATTAAAATTTTTTGATAAATTTTACTAATAATGCATACAAAGAATTGGCAGCAGAAATTTGGAATATATAAAAATATCATAAATGTGAAAAATATTATAGTTTTAGCAAGAAAAATAATTAGATTATATTATGTGACTGAAATTTTAGCCAGGCTTCCTACAAAAATCTTAAAAAAAATTTTTTTTTCTGACTTTTAAGTATTTGTTAAAAGGTGGTGAAATAAGAAAGTGTTATAAAATTCTGATATGCTATTATTACACCTAAAAATGATGTGCAAAAATGATCTACAAGAATGAAGGGATGATCAATTTCATGTAATACTAAAAATGATTTGCAGTACTGTAACTAAATTAGATAATTAAATGATTTACATGTCTTATTTCCTAAATTTGGTAGTCTAATTTTTATGTACAAATAGGCTTTATTACGTTATATGATCTTAATGACATTTATCACATTTATTTCATTTTTCTCATTTGTTTTATTTACTTCGTTTATGTTATTTATTTATTATATATTTATTTTCTTTATTTTATTTATTTTATCTTTATTAGTAAGTATTTTTATATAAATAAGAATGATTCATTGATGTAAAAATAAGGAGAAACGTCTTATCTTGAATAATTCTTTTGATAAATAAACTGTTTAGTACAGACGTGCCGATAGAGGCAGTACTAGTCTTTTGTTTGTTAAATAATTATTTGCACGTATTCCACCTAATTTATCATGATTCTTTTTAATTTTTTATCTCGTACCTTTATTCTTACTCTTCTGTATGAAGGAAACCTTCTGATAAACTGTGATATCGTAGGTGATTTACCTGCGATCTAAAAGAACTGGCGTAACACTATTTTAATAAAGTTTTCTAGAAATAATTTGGTTAATAGTTATAATTCTGCGCAAAAAAAATAAATTTACATTATTGATAGTGATGCAGAAGAAATTTTATGATATGCTTATACCAATTAATTTATTATATTTATATTATACATGTAAATTTTTATGATACAATATATATATACATAACAAACTAAAGTAAATTACTTATTATTTTGCATTATATTATTACTCTTCATATTGACGACAGAGTCTAATCAATAATCTTTATATGCTAGCTCATCAACTTGAGAAAGTCTTTTTTACTTCATATTTTATTTTACTATAACCCTGTGATGATTGAAGTGAAATCCACTGAAAGGAAAGTTCAATTAACATTTATGTATAAAAATGAGGTGATCATTGAATAGCAACTAACTTTACTTACTTTACTTGCGGAGTAAGAAACTCTGTGGCTAACTTATATTCACATCCAAGATCCAAGAATCAAAATTAATCATCTATAAGAATTGCATTAAGTATATTTGATTGCATTATAGCTACTTTTAGGGATTTTAATATTCAGATGAAACGTCAATTATAATATAACTAATATAATTTGTTCAAAATCAGTTTTTCTAGCCAAATAATGATTCTGCAGCACTGTGAATGTGTATCAGAATTGTACAACACTCTTATCACTTAAATGTGATTTTGCTTCTGTCATCAAGATAGAAATGTTTTGTATATAGATACAATAATCTAAAAAACTGTATCCTGCAGCTTTCATTGAGCTCAATCTCTACTTCTAAACGCGTTAATTTATTATTGTACTTGCATAATCAACTGTTATAGGAAGGAAGACTGAAATGTATTTTCGTATTGTAGCCTCATTTATTGTGAATTTGTTGTGAAAAATATTCATCTTCACCTGAAGGCAGAGTTGGCCATTTGGCTGAGGTTTAGATATTAGCAATTTGGCTAATTTGGCTAGTCAAAAATGGCTAAAAAAATTTTTGGCCGCGGTCAAATGTTAATAAGTATTAATACATTTATTAATACCTAGTTATTTGGCCAAAAATTTTCTTTGCCATGACTAAAATACACACACTACTCGAAGAAAATCTTCAAACCATTTTAAATTATCAAAAGAAAAAATTGAATGTCATATGGTTTGACTTCTCAAAGTTTATTAAACCCTCTTTTGGTATCGTGATAACAGGTCATTCTTGACATTCATCCGATGGAATGGAATATAAAAATCCTAAAAGTAGATGTGGTTTGAAAATGATATGAAAAAAGAAAAAAAATATGGTCTCCTATATTGTGCGAATTCTACAAGCACAAACTAAATCATTGAAAAAGGATGTTGTCATTGATAATATAATTTTTGTATCTTTTAATAACTTTGTGACATAATACCAAAAGAAAAAAAATAGGAGCGAAACAATGAAAACAAGAAAAGGAATAAAGAGGGTTTGTTAATAATGGATGCAATCTTTATAAGAAATGATGAATCTCATTTTATGAATTATGAAATCGAAGTTGTTGAATAAATTTTTTATCCAATCAGAATCGTTATTAGATAAATAATCACGTTACTGATTTATCATGCACTAAAAATGGGGTGGCTAAAGCCGTGTTCGATCACGATTTTTTGGCCAGAATTACGGCATTAAGTTATAGTCCCCGTGACAAATAATGTGATAAATAAGGAACCCAGAATACCTAATAAAAAAAACCAGAGGTGTTACGTAGCGTGACAAATATTTTTGTGAGTCCCGTGATAGAACATGAAAGTTTAAAAGTAAGTAACGTTTTTTTTTTTTATTATTTCCTAAATAAATTCTCGTTAAAATTACATATATGAAAAGTTTATCAATTTCATTATCTATCAATTTAAACTTTATTCTAGTATTCGGATGGATCAAAAAAGGTAATCTTTTCATTCATAATTAATATCATAAATGGTTACTCTAAAATAAGCTTGATTTGACATTTTTAAAATCTAAATATCGGCAGAAAAGAAAAGAAAAAAAATTTGAATTATTCCACAAATTGATTAATGTGATCTGATATTTATGCAGGCAGGTTTCAATATAATTTATGCTGTTATGTAAAAGGAAATACTTGATGAAGGTCATTATGTCCAACAATAATTCTACAAAAAAAAAAAAAAATAAAAAAAATAAATAAATCAAATATCCAATTCTTCCTCCGTTTCTTTACCTTCACGATAAGTGAATTTGATTCGTTTAACCTCTTGAGTAAAAGTAAAACTATGCCTTTGTTTTTTCTTCTTTCTGTTGTTACTCATTTGTTTATATCCATTCTTAATGTTAATGTAATCATCTGAACTCGATGACGATTCATCATTTATATTGACGGCCTAAAAAACATTAGTATAATCAAAAGTTAAACTTTGTAAAACATAAAAAAAAAAATAACCAGATATTCAAGATAACAAATTTACCCTTTCCGAAGTTACACTATAAAATAAATTCAAAAGATTAATGAGTTTTGCCAAGAAATTTACTTTAGCACGAATATTAATAGTAATACCTCGATCTTGAAAACAATCGTTCTTCAGGACTAATTTCCGCACGTTTCTTTTTCTCGGTCGAAGGTCTCAAATATGAATCAAATCCACGGATAAGGTTTCCGCCAGAATGGGTCTCTTCCAAGTAAGAACCTTCAAAGTTCCAAATATTAGTCTCGATGGTTCTCTATGGATAAAATTGAATCATGATTCGATTTTTTTATTGCAACTTAAAAGGTTTTTAAAAGTATTGGTTTATTTTTATTTATTATTTACCAGGTTTTTATCAGTTTGTTTTTTTCTAACCAACAATTCCTTAAGTTCTGCCTCCACTTCTTCTAGCTTTTGTCTTGTTACGACAGGAGACTAAAAAGAAAGCATTAAAGAAGAACTAAAAAAAAAAAAAAAGAAAAGAAAACGAAAAGCAATAACGTTTACTATATTATTAGTAGCAGGAGGTTCTTCCCCAACGTCTGGCATTTGAATTAAAAAAAAATAAGAGGTGATAGTTTTTTTTCAATTAAACAATTTCATCGGATTATTTATATGAATTTAATTTGTCACGTTATTTCGTACTTCAGTATACATATAAATACTCTCGAAATTTCTTTTTTTTGCACACTTACATCGCAATGATTACCCCACTTTGCGGGAGAGGATATTTGAAAATGGATCAATTATTTTGGTATTTACATACCAAATATCCATTTCATGATACGATACGAATAGGCAAGATATGAGCGATGTATAAAAAAATTTATTTTTATTATTTTTTTTTTTTTTTTTTTTTTTTTTAAAAAAAAAAAATTTTCAAATATAAAAAATTTGATAAAATTAAAAACAGTTATCATTGATAATTGATTATGAGAAACATTTTTAACAAGGATAGTTGCACCTTAAAATTTATAGAATTAAAAAAAGGTTGTATGTAATAACTTTTAATAAATTTTACAAATGATAAAAATAATCGTTAACGATTTAAATTAAATGATTCGATGATTTTATACAAATAAATATATTAAGGATTGTAGATTATAAATTTACATGCGTTGTATGTTTGTATTGGATGATAACAATTAAATGTAAATTATTAAGATATGAAATATTATATAAATAAAAATGAAGTTTGAATTTGTTAAAAGAATGGCGAAGAGATCATAATAGATCTAAGATTTCTTTGACTAACCATTCCATTCTAATGGATGATTTCAATAGTCAAAAGATTAGGATGAAAATATAAGAAGGTATGAAAAAATTATAAACCGATGAATTCATATGAAAGAAAAAAAGAAAGAAAGGATGCAAATATTTTTCATAAATATCATTTTCCGCAATCTCGTTTAAAATATTTCCATCAATTTTGGAAGCTACTTGCTGATAAACTGATTTCGGTAATAAAACATTCGACTACGAATAATTTGTTCAGGAACACGTTTCTAATTAACCTAATCGAGTTGTAGTAAAAATCGTCCTCTCTGTTCTATCGTTCGAATTATTGTTTACAGTAACAAAAACACGATGATTAGTCTCCAGGATATTATCATTAATTATAATGGAATCATTCTCACTAAGGTAAGGTGATTGAGTGGTGGATGAATCATGATCACTATTATAAAAATTATCAAGCTGTAAACATGAAATAGCGGCACTCAAGGTGTTAGAATATGGTGACTGATCCATTTGAGAAGGAGGAAAATCCTCGTTTGGGTCGAAAAAGTAAGGACCAAAGCGAGATTCAGTGTAAGATGGATAAGAAATATTCTCGGGGAAATCTTCCTGCGAGATATGAGGAAAAGATGAAATCGATATAGGGATGATAACCTCATGAAATTGCATCTTGGTAAGCAGTTTTCCCATCTCGGCTTGTATCACGCATCGTAGAGTGTAATATACGCGTAAATGACGACCAGAAAATGTTGGTGGTACATGATGAAATTTTCTGGGTATGATGAAGGAGAATTCCAACTCTCCCGTTTTTTGATTTGTTACACCAATATCACATCGCCTTTCGGTGGAGACAAGTGAACGTTCATGTTTTTCGCAAACTAACTCTTTGTCCAAAGGACCTTCATAATGCTTACGTAAGGAACATTGGACACAAGTAATACGCCCGTTAGAATGGTTGGTTACTCGCAGCGCGAGTTTTAATTCTTCACCTAAGAAATAATAAAGCGATTTGTTGGTGACATAATCAAAAATCATTACAAAAGTCCATTTACAAGATAAATAATTAATTACCAGGTGAAAATACGTGTCTAGGTAAGGTTGCTTCAACTTCCACCAACATTTTCTTCGGTTTTTTGTCGTTATACAATACATCCTTAAAATTCCATACTTGATCTGGTGGAGCAAAAGATATAGGAATGAAAGGGGTAACTATCTCTGGACCTTCGATTACAGTCCCACCGGCTGCTTCTATTACCGGTTGCCATACATACCGGATTGAATTTCCTTTCGGTCCCTGATAAATATGATATCAAGTCAACTTAATATTTGATAAAATCTATCCAACTTTACAGATCAGAATTAAATTAATATATAAAAACCTCTATAGAGGGGGGTAGATTCACTGGTGGCAGCTAATAAAGTAGAGAAAATTGGTAAATAACAAAGTATATTATTCATAGATAATTTAACACAACAATCGAGAAACAAATTTTACCTTTAGAGCAAATTGAAACCTGTACGTCCCTGGAAGAAGTTCTTTCCAAGGAAAATATTCATTGGCTGTGTAGAATAGTTTAAGATTTAAATTTTTTTTTTTTTTTTTTTTTTTTAAAAAAAAAAGGGAGACAAAAGACGTTTTTAAATCTTAATTACCTCTTTGTGGGCCGTGATTTCCGCCGCTCCAAACCACGTAATTACATTCGAAATAAATAGTTCGCGCGGTCTCCACACGTTTCGCTGATCCGGAAGCCGACCCGTAATCTTTTGCTTTGGTTGATGCGGTCTCTTCACCTTGTGTATCAAAAAGAAAGTAATTTATGAATTGTACAATAAAGAGAAAGTAAATTTATTGACAGTTACCTCGAAATTTAATTTTGATTGACGATGCAAATAATGTCCTGCTATTATCTGAGATCGTCAAAATTACCGAACCTTTAAAATTGTTAAATCTACATAAATTTTTATCATGGCATAAGGGGAAAAAAAATATCGGTTAAATGAATCACATACCTCTAACAACTTGAGTGGGTCGTAATGTTAATGTCCTACCTACCTCAAACTCCACGTTCAACTGTGGTAAGTTAGAGGACGTTGATTGTTTATCCTCATGACTTCCAATCGAACCTAATCTTAAAATTCTTGACATAAGTAATCGTAAACTTGCACCTTTACTCTTAGAAGCAAGGCACCCTTTTTTTTTTGTTTTTATTTTTATTTGTTGAGTAAATCCAACTGATGTTATGAAGCACGAAACCCACTACTACGTAAGCCACCTTCTGACTCGATGTCGGTTAACTTGACAAATAAAAGGGAATGTGGAATAAAAAAATTTTAGTATCAGAGTTATAACAATACTTTCTTACCATATATATTCAACATATTTATTTGTTATTAGTCTAACATCATTTAAGTTAGTGCGACATACGTGATTCTGTAGATACCGAGAAAGTAAATAGAAACGGAGATGTAAAAATAGTATATATACTTTTTAAAATATTTAATAAGCTTTGACACGTTTCAATTTGAAATTACATGCCGATCCATATTTTTTTTTAAGAAATATAGCAGATTTATTATGCAAACGTGATAAACTAGCTTTTTTAAATGCAAGATGAAAAATGTAAATGGTGATTTTTTTTTTTGTTTATATTAGATTAAATAAATGTTATCAATAATTGAACGAAAATGAGAAATTTTGATGTTTAAAAAAGCACACCTTCTTTTCCCCAATTATTCTTTTGGCGGCACAGAAAATCATTTCCAATCTCATAACCGAAAAAAAATGTTTGACTACATTAAAATGCGTTTATTCTGACCCAATTATGTGAAAATATTCTCAGAGCCAACTTCTTTTGCATCCATCCCCTTTTTCTTTCTCATTTTCCCAATATTAAGCACTTTCTTAGTGATATACCCTTTTTCATTTTTTTCATTTATTTATTTTTTTTTGTTTATTAATTTAATTAAGTGTCAATAGTTCCCATTCATTCATTATATCATTCTCAAGTATATCATTTGGGGAACATTCTTCTACTCTTGCGGTCTGCTCGAGGTAATCGAAAAACTAAAAATGAGCGGTTCAAGTACAACGACTCTTACGGTTCTATCCCTAAATTGCTGGTATGGTATCTCTGTTAAAAGTTCGTCGATGTAATTCTTCGTCTTTTATGTGTTTGTCTAAGTCTTTATTATCCTTAGGGGTTTGAGATTTATTTCCAAGAAAGTCGATCAACGTATGGAAGCTATTGCGGACAATTTGGCTCATTCCGACTACGAGATCGTTTGTTTGCAAGAAGTTTGGGTATATCGTAATTTTGAAGCCATTAAACAGAAAACAAAAAAACGTTTCCCCTATTCAAGGTTTTATAGCAGGTAAAGTAACAAAAAGTCACGTCCTACCTCCATTTTCAAACATCCAGATTTACCGGATATATATTACTAGAATTAGTTCAATTTTGGCCGGAATTATAAAATTAAAGTCATGTGCATTTTTAAAAGTGGTGTATTTGGCACAGGTCTTGTCATCCTTTCAAGATATCCGATAGTCGAAATATCCTTTCATAGATATCGTTTGAACGGTCGTCCCATTAAATTTACTCATGGGGATTGGTATGTTGGTAAAGGTGTGGCCAGCGCTGTTGTTGACCATCCCGTGGCTGGATTGATTGAAGTTTTTAATACCCACGTAAGGCGAATCACGATTCAATTACGACCTTATTATTTTATCGCCTTGCTTAATTAATAATGCGATTTATTTTCGATATTTTCAGACTCACGCTGGATACGGTTCAAAGAAGGATGATATATATTTGGCCCATCGAGTTTCACAAGGTTGGGAGATGTCTTCCTTATTAAAGGCTTCAGCTTCGAGGGGTCGTAACGTAATCGCCGTGAGTAAATGTATAATTATAATCGTTATATCTTGAAATCATTCAAACCTTTTTTTTTTTTTTCATTATTTTAGATTGGTGATTTCAACAGTCATCCGGAATCTTTGGTACATAAATTAATCACCACACATGGTCAAATGACAGATGCTTGGCAATCTCAGGTTCCATCATCTCCATCGAGCGCGTCCTCCACTTCAATCCATCAACAAACATCGGTTCCGTTCGATCCACAGCATTCCATCATTCAAAAAGGTTACACCAGCAATTCCCCACTAAACACTTGGTCAAAGATTACCATCAAACAGGCTGAACGAGATCTTTACGCGGGTCAACGTATCGATTTCATCTTTTATCGTAAAACTTCACGATTTTGGTGTAGCGGTTCTCGTGTCGTCTTTACAGATAAAATACCTGAACTTGCTGTCAGTTATTCGGATCATTTCGGAGTGGAAGCTACCTTTACACTTGTTGGACGAGACAAGAATGCTGTAATCCCACTTTCGGTATGGGAACAAGGTCAATATGAGCATTTACATGAACTAGATACTCGTACTCTTAAAACTGTTGAAGATATGTTCAAAAAAGATTTAAGTAGATCACAAACATCTTCACGTATACAACTATTTTTCTTTTACCTTTCTTTAATCGTGATCATTGGTTTGTTCGCTTTTGAAGTATTACTTGCTTCAAGTGTCACTTTCTCACAATTTTGGATTAACATAATTATTGTAATGATTATTGGTCCGATCGCGTCTCTTGGTACTGTAATGGGATTACATGGGTTCCTTTTCGGTAATGAAGAGCAAAGTACGTTACAACAATTTATTGAAGAAGTTCAGTCTTATGCTGAAGGAAAAAAAGTTCTTGAGAGTCGTGCGAGCAGTATTGGATTGCTTGATGAAAATGAAAGTAGTCAAAGATCTTCGGCGGCTGCTGATGCGACTCATCAAGTTGAAATCGGTTTTAAATCATAACATTTTATAATAATTTTCAAATTAGAGATTTAGTAAAATTTTTATTTATTAAGTTCTATTATATTAATTAGTACTGTACCTATTCAAAACCAGAAAAAAAAAAAAATCAACCAATAATCAAAAGTGAAGTTTTTCGTAGCATAAAAAAATTTATTAATCTATATATTTATTATAAATTTTTACATGCATTATTTATTAATTATATGCCAAATAATCATAATTTTCTTTTGCTCAACAATGAGTTCATCATTGCGAAAGTGTAGAGCGCCGACGTTGAGGCAACACTGATTAATTCAAGTTGAAAGAATATGGCGCTTTTGTGGAAGCTACTAAATTTATTTTATATGCTAAATTATGTCAAAAAATGGTACTATAATATAATTGTCGCTTCCAAATTTTTTTTGACGGAACAAATTCATCAAAATCATCAAAATAAACAAAAAAGATTTGTTCTTGAGCGCGTTGATAAAATAATTCAACGTCAATCTTCGTTTCAAAACAAATATGTCCATAAGTTTCTCTCTTGTTCTTAAATATATTACAGATTGTTGGAATGAACAACAAATGGGATGATATCTTTATTGCATTTTAGTTAAATAGATTTACAAATGCAATAAGTACTAAATTTAGTCAACAATCTCAGGACCTGGTTTTATGCAATCATTCTAAATAATCTTTCGTTTTGTGGTTCTAAAAGTAAGTGTAAGTAAATGTAGTACGTGAACGTAAATGACGTGAGCGTGAAGTGACTGTGAACGTGAAACAGGCACTTCCATGAATGTTCGTTTCCATAACTGTTGTGAAGTAGGGAATTCATGACCGATTCCTTCCTCCAGAATCAATAGATTTTCAACATAGAAAAAATATCAAGATTTTCCATAGAGAATATAAAAATATTTCTCACTTACATGATTCCATTATTAAAAACGTCTTAAATAAAAAAAGCAATTGTAAGTAAATTCAATGATCTTCGATACATATAAATAATAAAATCTTGGATGCGATCGTCCAATCGATAAATATGTTGTGTACCATGTGAAACGTGTGAAACTTACAAACACTAAACATTTTTTAAAACATCATTTTTTTAATTCCCGTTTTTGAAGGTTTGTTATCATGGGCGACTTTTCTGTCCAATATGATCTCACAGGGTTATCCACTCAAAATACAGGTGGAAAGGTTTCGAAAATTCGCTTCGATAATACAAAACAAGAATTTGAAAGTAATGAAGTATTATTTGCTACAGGCTCTTGGGATACACCAAAGGTACCGTATTTGATGCCTTTGCAAAAAAAAAAACACTTTTTTATGTTTATTTACATGCTCTTTACGCGTCTTATAGGAAAATACATTACTATTATGGAATGTTGAACAAAGTTCTTTTGGTTTGAGCGAACAAGCAAACTTCAAATTTTCACTGCTTGGTAAAACAACTCATGAAGGGGACGTTACCGACCTGAAATTTATTGGCGATAATCTCATACTATCATCGTCATCGAATGGATCATTAAACGCCTTTCAATTGGTAAAAGTTTTTTTTTATTAAAAAATTTAAATTTGTGATTGTTAAATGAATTTCTACATGAACTTCTCGTAGATAAATACGAATACGTCCGATATGATGGATTTTTCCGCTGATTCAACATTACAAAGGGTCATGAGTCGGCAGTTGCATAGCTTTTCTGACATTAGAAATGCATCACTTAATAGCTTTGCGATTAAACCATACAGCATCAATGATCCTCTAGTGGCAACCGTTGGAGAGGATGGAAAAATCGTGATTGTGAGAATTGAAGACTCAATAAAAGATCACGTTATAGAAAAGGCTGATGCCTCTTCAATCAAAGCAATTTTGTGGCCCAGATCGAATGAGATTGTACGTTGGATCGAAGTTTTTTTTTATCAAAAAAAATTTGTTTAATTATAACTCTAACGATACTTGATTTTATAGATCATAGCCAATGGATGTGGGCAATTGAGATTATTTGATCCGAGAGAAAGCAAACTTACAACAATATGCTATGAGTATATATTGATGTGAAATTGTACTATTATAAAGATTTGTTAGTAATGCCTTGTTTTTATATAGTCCCAATAACGTTAGAATTCCAATTAACTGTTTAACGTTTCATCCTTCAAAGGTAAAAGAGTCATTTTGTCTTGTACAGAAATTTTATCGAACGCTAAACATCATCAATCATTTTCCCTTAGATACATAAAGTTGCATCGGGAAACAACAAAGGTGGCGTGACAATATGGGACACGAGGAAATTGTCGGAACCGGAAAAGCACGCCCAGCCACATAAGTCTAGAGGTACAGGACACGAAATATCATATTCCAAAGTATTCCTTTTAAAAAAAAAAAATTTATTTTTCATTGAATTTTTGTAGTGTGGGATTTGTTTTATCATCCATATTATCATGAATTATTGTTCAGCTGTTCAGAAGGTAAATGTTTTCAGTTGACAAGTACATATATTGTTACACAAACTTAATATCTCGTGTTGAATTTATAGACGGAACGATTGGTGCCATTAATTTCGCAGATTCGGTACCCATAAGGAAAATCGGTTTCAGGTCCAATGAGCTTCCCATAAACTCCCTTGATTATCATCCACATTCGAAATTATTGATTGGTGGAGGTGATAATGAAAATTTACTTTATACTCTTATATAACGATAATACATGAAATAAATAAATTACCATAGAAAAAAAATGTTGGGTGCCACAATGATGTAAAGACCAGTAAATCGACTTGACATGCACGGTAAAAGTATAAAAAAGGGAATAATTTACAATCTTTTATTTTTGGTTTTTTTTTTTGGTTTTCTCATCCTTTGTTTTCTTTTTCCAATCATGACTAAATTTAAATGCATATTGCCACAAGAAGGACATTAGAAATAGAAATTACTTCAACAATTAAATATTTGTGTGATATTGAAAAATCTATAAAAGAAAAATATAAACAACATTATTCTAAAATTACATTTCCGCACCATTATACTTTGTTAACTGTTAGAAAGGCTGATGAAAGTGATGATGATGCAGTGATATTTGATTCGAGTTTAAAATTTCAAGATGCCATTAGTACTTTTGGTGAAGATTTGGTGCTGATTTACTACACAAGTATTAATTAATAATTTCAGATTTTTTTTCCTTTAAGTAATAACATATTTCTTTTTATTCTTTTTAATAACATTTGTTTTCGATTCTTTTCGTAGAATGCAATGAAGATGCTTTGCTTTGTGTAAGATTGCCAATTCCAAATTATTCTACAACAAATTATAAGGAACCGTTTATAAGATCGATATATGGCCTATCCCCAGAATCCGTTGAATCCTGGCCTAATTTTTACGAAGTTTTACCACAAAAAGATTCCTTTTCTCGAAATGCAAAGCGCTCAATAAATTTGTCATCTTTTTCTCAATCCACAATAACAAATAGAGATGACGTTATTAATGTAATAGAATTAAATATTTTAAGAATTCTAAATAAACTTTATTTTAAGGATTATTATCTTTCATTTGATTCATCCCATTTTGATTGGAGTAAAACGGATAACATAACAAGCTCTTATAATTTCAAAGGTAATCCGGATTGGTCATTTAGAAAACATGATAACGACGATACGATATTAGTAATTAGTGCCGCCACGAAATGGGAGGTGGATATAAAGGTGGAAGGGAATCTCGAATTGATTTATAATGATGGTTTAAAAAGTATTAAAAAGGGTACGGCAAACGGTTTTACAAGATCACTTGTAACGCAAATTAATCGAATCTTCACTTATTTATCGCTCAATGGACTTCAATATGGAGTTTTGACGACGTATGAAAACACGTGGTTTTTAACTAGACCCAAAAAGAATCCAAATCAGCTTTTAATTTCTAAAAGTTTCTCTCCTAATGATAAACGACCAACTCTACTCAAGATTTTCGCGTCATTCCTACATATGGTTAACAATGATCCATCATCACCAATTAATATGCCCGATTTTTCAATTTCTCCTCAAATTGTGACAAAGTATAATAAAGAAAGGTATGATGATATTTTCACAAATTTTATTTATTTATTTATTTATTTTTATTATAGAATTCTAAAATATAACAAAAAAAAAAAAAAAAAAAAAATTCATAGAATTAAAATATCAAGGCTACTACAACTTCTCGTACGTTTCATTATTAAAATCATATCTAGTATATTACCCAAAAATTCAACAATTTCAACCAAATATCTGAAGATTAATGGAAAATGTTTAGGGAGCGCAAGGATGGGAGGTGTGTTTATAAGTTCTTATAAAGGTGAAACCATTGCACTAAAGTTATGTGACATTTCAAAGCATCCGGAATTATTAGGTGAAATGCAAAAGGAAGTCGAATGTTATCAACGGATGAAAGATATACAAGGAAATTACATACCAAAACTGATCTGTAACGGGTATATTCTAAATGGCATGTTTTTTGTCATAGGGACTTCATACGGTGGAAAACGTATGAATGAAGGAGACGATGAAGGATATGGCGTCATAACACGAGACGAATATGATCTTGCCATTAAAGCATTGGATCAAATTCACGCGCATGATATTATTCATGGGGACATTAGACCTGAAAACATTTTATTTGACGGGCAAAGGGTAATTAGGATTATCGATTTTGGATTTTCAAAAATATCATCAGATGAGAAAGAAAAAGAGGAGGAAAAGGAAAATTTAAGATCAACATTTCACAACCCACATCTGATCATCTGACCATCCGATAATCATTCTATTTTTGGTATTTTAAATAGAATGTTTTGAACGTTTTTCGATTTACAACCTTTCATTAATTCAATGGCAAAGTCAAAAATCAAACTTCGAGATATTTTCGATATTCCTTTACCTAAAATAAGCTACGATTCGAAAAGACAACCTTCAAAAGTCAAACGACACCACGCTCTAATAAAATGAATGGTCATTATGCACCAGAGCAAATTTCACTTTGGGAAGATTTCGATGAAGATTGTAAAAAAGTTTTAAGAATTGAAAAATACGGAAAATACTTAATAGAAACATTGACGAACCAGAAATCGATATTGATGACCCATTAAATGTCAAGACGGAAAAAGATCTTTATGAATTATTTGAAGATGCCGTAAATATATACTTAATGGAGTTTCTTTCACATATAGATGACTCATTTGAGATTTGGGAAGTTGAAAAAAAACTACCAAAGTCAGGTTTCACACCTGATTTTACAATTTCTAGAGGTATAAATGAAGGTTGTTTATTGCCTATAGAAGTAAAACTCAAGCATGTATTTGAAAATATGAAAACTGAAATTCATACTTTATATAATGAACAAATAGAACATGTTAAAAATCGTAAGGAGGTCAATAAACCAGACATAGTGCCACCAATTTTACAAACTTACAAATATATGTTACATGAAGGATTTTTTTATGGAATATTAACTACATATGATTGTACTTGGGTACTTAAATTTGAAGTTGATCAAGACAATTCGGATGTTGAGAAGGTTTTTATTAGTAGACGAATCGAAAACCATGAATTGGTTAAAATATTAATATGTGTACTTTTATTTATTTTTCAAGATGAAGAACGGGAAAGGAAATTCAATTTTAAGTTGGAAGGTTGTAAGAGACTTAAAATCAAAGTATAAATAAATTCAATAAAATTCATAAATTATGATTGGGGAATTTAATAAAACAGAAATCTGATTAATCTGATAAATTAAAAAATTATTCCTGTGAAATTGCTAAACTGATTCAAGACATCTTCCTTATTATTTTTCCTTATCTGTACTTTTATATGAAATTCTCAATTTTGACAAGTAGCTTGGTATGAATGACGTGTGAATAATTTTGAATTGATTATGGCGCTGTTTATATTCGTAGCACCAAACCACAGCCTCATGCGATAAACGTTTATTATTATTAAGTCTACTCTCACGGGTTAATTTTGCTAAAACTCTTTCATAATAAATAATTCCAATCTTTAGGAACATCCTAAATATTCGGAATTCCGAAACTTATTATAATACTAACCTGAAAAAAAAAAGTTATTTTTGAACGATCATTGTTTATTTGACGTCGCATGAATTGTTTTATTTTTTTAAAAAAAACAAAAAGGATTCTCCCGGTAATGTATCGTTCTATCATTGTTTAAGAGATCACACCTTTTCCGAGAAAAATTTTGTAAATTAGGAATTTTATTTTAATAAGACATCATTTTTTTTTCAATTTGATTTCGATTTTTTACTGATGCAATCTCATGCCCTTGTAATGATCCCTTTTTTGTTTTTTTGGAAAAAAGCGGGGATCAGTTTACCTAAAATCCCTAAATGTTAGGTTTTCCGTGTCGATCTAAAATAATTCTTTTTTACTTTATAATTTACCATATTTAAAATAATTATTTAATAAATAAAATAATATATATAAAACCCCTTAAATTTTCTGCAGCTTTAAATTCTTTACTCTTTTTTTTACTACTTTCAGCCTAGAACTTTACTTAAAAACCTATAAACCCGCTCTTTTTTTTTTTTTTTTTCTTTCCCACTTATTTGTGAAGTGTACAATCATGAATGATAAATAGATCGGAAAAAGTCGCAGCAAATAAGCAATAAACTTTCCCTAATTATTTTTTTTTTTTTTACTATAGAAACACAAACCTGCAGAGTTCAGGTTGTATTCTATTTTTTCACTTTCCCACACAATCCAATACGCCATAACCCGTTTGAACTTACCAATAATATCCTTAGAACCTAAAAAAAAAAAAAAAATATTTCACAATATATATCATATAAAAATCTAGTAGTCAGGATGAACACGGTTAAAAATTCATTTTTTTCAAAAGGTTCACCAAAAGAACAAGATTTCGAATTTTTGAAACACCCACACACGAGGCAGGAATCGCAAAATCTTTCAAAAATCGCTTATAAACTTAGTAAAAAAATTTCATTTGGATCATTTAAATACTCGTTAGATAATCAAAAAAAAATGAACAATAACATGAAAAGGAAAATCGATAAAATAGAGAACCTTGATCCTTCCAACCTTTCACATAAGCGTTCTGATACACCGATATCTGGTTACTCATCGTCTGATGATGAGTATGGCGCTTCCGCTACCCAACCTCTTATATACAATGATGCTGTTTCAATACAACTTCATCAGCCAAGAAGTGATATGGCAACTGGTGGTTGGTGTTATTTACATGGATAATGTGTTCACTTGTGTTGGAAAAAGTTCATTCATTAATTATCATCATTTTCATTTTTATTTTCATATTGTAAAGACATATCACAGGTCTTAATTTTCTACACGGGTGGTACTATTGGTATGAAAAATACAAATAACCATGGATACGTTCCAGTAAGTTGTTGGTCGAATCATCAAAAATTTTTAAATGATTTTTTAAATTTTTTTTTTCTTTTTTTATTGTCTTTACCTTTAAGGTGCCTAATTTCCTCACAGATAATCTTGCTGGAATGTCTCGATTTCATGATCATACATATTATCCAAGCTTCCGTCGCTTTATCTTGGATAATAATGACCTATCCGAAGAAGAAACTCATCCTACTAATAAAGTTATTGTTAACGATTTGACCAAAGATCCACCAGAACAAATTGAAACTGTTCGACGTTGCTTGATAACTCCACCTTCTTTAGTAGGAAAAAGAATAAGGTAAAAATTATTGCGACAAAAAAGAAAAAAAAAAAAAAAAATTTCTTTTTTTTTGATCTTTCGAGATTAATCATTTGACAATTTTAGGTATTCTGTAATAGAATATGAACCCCTGTTAGATTCTTGTAACATGTCTAGTGATGGTATGTTTTGTCTTTAATATATTTAAACCTTAACCATTCGAAGGTTTTAGTTCATTCAATACTTTCTTTTTAATTTAGATTGGATACGTATTGCTACCGATATCGAACTAAATTACGAGTCATACGATGCCTTTATAATATTGCATGGTTAGTACCTTTCTTGAAATGGGCAATTCAAGCAAAACATAACGAATATTTACGTTTAATTTATCTATAGGAACGGATACAATGTCGTATACTGCAAGTGCTCTCAGTTTTCTATTAGAGGATTTAGGGTATATATCGTCTTATCTATAGAATCCTTTTGATCAATGTTATACACTTCTAACCAATATACCTCGTTTCTATAGCAAAACCGTCATATTAACGGGTTCACAGGTATGAAGAACCGCAATTTTCACTGTCACTTGTAGAAAAGAAAAATCCAATAGTGACTCAAAACGTATATGATCTTTACCTCCTTTTAATTCATGTAGCCTCAAAGGATATGTTTCTAATTTCCTTTTTCCTTTTTTTGTATAAAAAAAATGGATGATAGGTTCCATTGTCTGAAGTTCGCAATGATGCCATCGAAAACCTTCTGGGTGCACTTACAATTGCTGGCCATTATGTCATACCGGAAGTTAGCTTGTTTTTCAACAATAAACTTTACCGTGGAAATAGGTCAGTGAAGATGAATGCGGTTGAATTCAATGCATTTGATTCACCAAATTTAGCTCCGTTGGCCACGGTTGGGATAAATATAGGTTAGGGATCCAGCTCACATGTCAAAAATTTTTTATGATAGCTATTGTAGTGCTAACCTTACTCCATTCTGTTCTTTTAGATGTAAATTGGGCCGAGATCGTGAAGCCATCTTCGATTGCAAAGTTTAAGGCACATAAAGCTCTAAATCGAAATGTGAGTAGTTTACGATTGTTTCCCGGTATAACAGAGTCAACCGTGAAAGCATTATTAGCAGAGCCGATAGAAGGAGTAATTTTAGAGACATATGGAGCTGGAAACGCGCCTGATACTCGGAATGATATAATGAGAGCCTTGGCGTCTGCTAGTGATAGGGGTGTTGTTATTGTAAATTGCACACAATGTAAAAAGGGAGTTGTAACCGATCTATATGCTACCGGTAAAGCCCTTCGTAGGGTTGGTGTTGTTTCAGGGAATGATATGACCCCAGAGGTAGGTATTCAATTTTCCATCGTTCAGATAAATGGTTTAAGTTTTTTTTTTTTTTTTATTTATTTTATTTTATTTGATAGTGCGCGCTGGTTAAACTGGCGTATTTACTTGGTGAATTTGAATCCGGAAAACGTTACCCACCTAAAGTGGTACGTGAATTAATGACCAAAAATCTCCGTGGAGAACTTACAGTTGTAGCTCCAAAGCCTAGATTTACCTTTCATAATCGTACCCATAAAATTATACAAAATATGATCTGTAAGTTGATTTTTTTTTCCCTTTAAAAAAATTATACTCATTGCATTTCATTAATTCATAACCCTTTTTGATTGTTTAGTCGCTGCTGCCGATGCAAACCAAGCGGCCGCAACAGATACTTCACTGATGATGAATGTGCAAGAAAAGGTTTTAATGGAAAAGTCTTTATATCCGATTTTGTTGTGTTCTGCTGCTGGAACAGACGATCTGGACGGAATGTTGTTGTTATCGGAGAATTATGAAGGGATGATGCTAATGTTGAATTGTATGGATTATGATGGAAGAACTCCATTGGTAAGTGAACTTTTGAATCTGAGTTTATTTAAATCATTTACATGTATTAAATTTTTCGTTCTTGAAGCACATTGCATGTACGGGAGGGCATCATCGAATAGTGAAGTTCTTATTGCAAAATGGAGCATCTGTTCACATGAGGGATAGATTTGGACATACGCCTCTGTATGAGGCTGCACGTAATAAACATAAGCACGTAATTAACACATTACGTGAAGCAGGAGCTCATTTCAATGATGCAGAGATTGACGATGTAGTATTTCAAGCATTATCGTACGTTTCTATTATTAATTGAGGTAGTTTAATGATATTTTTAAGTACCAACTAACTTGTCATTTTTTAAAAAAAAAAAAAAAAAAAAAAAAATAGTGCTGCTGCGAAAGGCGATGTCGAATTGCTTAAACATTTTGTTGATGCCGGGATAGATATAAATCGTACCGGATTTGATCATCGTACGGCCCTACATCATGCAGTAGCCGAAGGTTGTCTAAATACTGTTCAATATCTTTTGTCCTTACCTGATATAAATACAGAGACTAAAGATAGATGGGGAAGAAAACCAATTGATGATGCTGAAATGAATCTTGGTAGAATGTGGGGAAGGGATAATGAAACAGAAAAACAACTAAGAGAAATCGTTAGATCGCTGAGGGAAAAAACCGATTATGTGGTAGATGAATCTATCGTGAGAAGAAATACATCATCACAACATGAAGATCTTGGACCACATCACTTAAACGGGGTGAATGGAGTTGTGATTGTAGTTAACGGCGATACGGTAAACGTGTAAATAAATGATATCTGAAGGGGATAAATATAATTACACACGATTCATGAACGAAAAAAAAAAAAAACAGTTTGCAATAAATTTTTTCTTTAATCACAAAATTGAGTAGATTAAGATATAATTTTTTTTTAGAAACTTTAATTTTTTTATTAATATATTATAATATAATAATAATAATAATAATAATTGCATAAATATGCTGGATTGGATGTGTTTTGAAATAAAGTAGGAATCTTTTAATTTAATTAATGATTTTTTAAATTTTTGCTTTTTTTTATCTTATTAATAAAGAATTAAATGTATCTCTTATTTTGTCAAAATAAGGTTAAAATAAAATTTGTGTTAATTCAAATCTACTATTATTTTAGTAATAACATTTCAAGTAATATCAAGTTATTATTATAGTTTTATATGTATATATGATTAAAGAAATAAAAAAAAAACTTTATAAAAAATATATATATTATTATTTTTAAGAAATGATTTACTAATAAAATTCTCATATGAAAAGATCAGAAATATTTGTTATAGTTAATAAAAGTATTTTTATACATATTTTTAACTTTATAGTAAATCACTAATAATTAATTACTTAATATTTGCATTGTAAAATCTAATTTATTTTGTCTTATAATTTTCATCTGAGATTTTATTTTATAATTTAATAAATCTCATTAACATCATAAATATAAATAATATATATAACTAAATTACAGAATTATCAATTATTATATTATAGTAGATTAAATAAAAAATGTAAAAATAGATGTTATATTTAAACTTTATAATATATTATAGTAAAATAAAATTTTATTATATTTATATTTATTAATATTTTAAATTTTATTATTCGTTTAAAACATTAAATAAAATGGATATATTATAATAAAAAAGAAGGAAACTACCAAAAAAAATTTTAAGTTATTGTTAAATCTGATTTTATTTTATTAAAAAATAATATTTAGTATATAAAGTAAAAAAATTATTTTGCTAGAAATGTAAAAATTACTAGTATAAAAAAAGAAAATCACAATATAAATTGATCTAATTTCTACTTATAAATTATTATTGTTATTATTATAACTAATCTACCTATTTATCTAAATTTCAATTTATTTTTTATTTAAATATTGTAAAATATTAATAAATGAATTTTAGTTACTCATTCTCTTAATTTAAGTCTGCATTCTTTTAAAGCTAAAGTTTAAAGATTTTTCTTCTTTTTCAATACTATTATTTTTGTTTTTATTAATTTGCTTTAAACACATCAAATATTTTTCATAATTTATTTATATTTTTTAAAACTTTCTAAGAAATTAAGAAATAAAATATGAATATATATAAACAATAATTAGTAAATAATAAAGGCAATAAGTATCTAACCAAAAATCTAAGATATAATTAAAGTTGCTGGATAAAACTTAGAGGTTTTACAAGTTGTCTAAATGGAAAAAGGTGAAATTGTATTAAAATCTTATTAAAAAATCTGCGAAATTCTGAAAGATAAAACTATATCAAAGCTTATAAAAATACGAACTATATCAAAACCTTAGTAAAAATTTAGCAAAATTATAGTTTAGACATTTTGCCAAATTTAAAATGAGTTTAGATAAGCAATTCTAGATATAATTAAACAATTTTTTTTTATTTAAAGCAAATCAATAATAGTCAAAAGAATACATCTTTTATTTAAAATAAGTCAAAAAATTTAAGATATGATTAGAAAAAAATTTTCTTTATCTAGAAAATTAATAATAATTAAAAGTATATTACCTTTATTTAAAATAAACTAAAAATTTTAAGATATAACTTAAAAAATATTTTTTATTAAAGATAAGCTAGTAATATCTAGAAAAATATTTTCTTCAATTAGGATAAATTAAAAATTAAAAATACAATTAGAAAAAAACATCTTTATTAAGGTAAGTCATAATATTATAATAATCAAAAAAAAGATTTTTTCATCTAAAATAAGCTAATTTAAAATATCTTAGTATAAATTTAATTAGAAAAGTATATAATTGATTTCTTCTTCAAAATCAATAGATTCTAATTAAAAAATTTATACTTTAATAAAATTATTTATCTTATTTGAACTAATAAGCTTTTATGTAATTTTTAACTTTATGTTTTGATGATATTGATTCTTGTTAAAATGTTTATAAAATACATGATATATTAAACTTTACTAATAGTGTTCAATATTATTTAAAGTAAAAATAATATTATAATTAATTATAACTGATAATAAATAAATATCATAGGATTGTAACTAGTTATAATACTAATAAATTGAATCTGATATATTTTATTGATATAATCTGATTAGAATCAAATAATCAAAAAATTATTTGATAAATAATTATATAATAATCTCATTTTATTAATAAAGAATTACAAATAATTTTTTATAAAATATTATAATCAAAATATTATATTATTTGAATATAAATTTAATAAAAAAGACATAATATTATAAATTATTTAAGAAGTTAATTATACCTTATTTTATAATTTTTTTTTAAATAAATAAATTTTTTTTGTGAAATATAAAAATATTTAAATTTAGCAATATATTTATTATAACAATTTATTAAAATAAATACTTTCAATTCAAATGTAATTATTTTTATTTAAAACAATCATATAATATATATAAAAATACTTTTAGATATATTTTTTTCTTTAATAGTTATATATCTATTAAAAAATGGTAAGGATTATACTATATTTAAAAGTAATATCTCTCTTATTAGATTGTATTTAAAAAATATTATTTAATTAATAATTATAAAAATTAAGCAATGAAGAATTATTAATGATATTTTTAAAAATCAATTAAATCTGAATACTTAAGATATTTAATAGGACAAATAAACAAAATGGTTTATAGTTTTTTTATTAAAAAATATATAATACAATTTTAATTTAAAAAACTAAAAGTTAAAAAACTAATTAAAGTTAATAAAAATATAATAAAGTAAAACTTATAATAAATAGATTAAACTTAATTTTATCTTTAAAAATACATAGAATTATTCATATGAATTTTATAAAAAAATATTTATTCACTTTTTTTTTGCATAAATCTTTTGTATAAGCTATATTTATAAAATATTCTATTTTGATTATAAATATATCATTAATAAACTTTTAAAAGATCTTATTTAAAAGCATATCAAAAATTTTAAATATTTTATCTAATTAAAATCTATTTCTGAAAATCAGATTAAATTAAATCTTATTTGAAATATATATTAGAGGTTTATGATAAATTATTAATTTGAAAATAATGTAATCAATCTATAGAATAAAAATTATTGTATTTTAAAGTTAATCAGAATATAATATCCTAATATTATCAGTTAAATATATTATAAACAAAATGTTTAAACTTATCTGTGAATATAAGAAAGAAACAATTATCAATATAAAAGAATTTAATATTTTATATTAATAGTTATTTGATTATAATCAAAAAACTTATAGTTAATTTATATAAGGTCAGATAATAATATTTTGTAGATTCTTATAACCTAATCGCTTCAATTTTTACAAAACTCATGATTTTTTTTTATAGTAAAATTTTTTATCATATAACTTTATATAATGAAAAATCATAATAGCATATACTTTATTATAAAAAATTTAATATACTATTTTTGTGATTTTTTTGTTATTTAAAACTTAATATTTTTAGCATGTTTTTTTATCAGAAACTATCATATACACTCACTATAATAATAATAATATCCTTCATTTACCTTACTATTTGCATAATACAAAACAGAATATAAAAATATATATAAAAAAAATTTATATATAAAAAAAAAAATTGAATAACTGTATCAATTTTAAAATTTTATGTCATGAGAATCTAAAAATTTTTTTGCTTAGTTTAAGATATTAATAAAGTTCATCAGTTATGTAAAAAAGATTAAAAATATAAAAAATCTTATTTCTTAAATGTATTATAAATTTTCAAAGAATTTTCTAAAAAATTCTATTTTATTTTAACTTAATCAATTATTTTTTTTTATAAAAAAATATATTAAAATGTTTTATCCTATAAATATAATTTTAAAGTTCTAAAAAGATATAAATAAATTTGGATAACTCTTTAAATTGATCTAAAATATTAAGAAATATAAAGATCAGTTCATTAATTTATAATTTAATATCAAATTGGATTTTAATTTTTTATTTAACTTGATTAACTTACTAATCTAATTCATTATAATTTCTAATAAATGATTGATTTATTACAATCAACTCTTATTATAACAAACTTTATGTCTTAGACTATAAGATTATAGTGAAGATTTTAAGAGATTTGATTGGCTAATTTGCTATAATAAAAGTATTTTTATTATATTTGTTCAAAAAATTCTTTATATCAAGAGTTCACTATATTAATAGTTGACTGTGTTATTCAAAAATAATGATTTATTATTATTCAACTAGAATAATATATTATTATTTAAAATAGAATGATTTATTATTGTTTTAGTGAATAATTGATTCATTATCATTTAAGAATAATTTATTATTATTCTTTTTGAACAATTTGTTATTGTTATATATAAATGATTTTTATCATCTATTTGAATGATTCATTATCATACTAGTGAATGATTCAATTTTTTTTATTGAATAATCAAATAAAGTCTTTTAGATTACCAATTTGTCTGAAGTGATCTAAATTAACCTAAAGATTTTCATGTTAAACAGGTTAGACCAGGTAAGAATATCTGATCCAATCCAAAAAAAATATCAGATTGGTTAACCAGATAACCTGAACTGACCTGACCTATTCATGTAATTAATAATGAAAATTAGAAAATTTAAATAAAAATGAAAAATTATGATATTAGTTTTTTTTATAGAAGATAAACTTAGTATATTTATAAAATAAAAAATAATAACTATAATTATTAATCAACTAGTTTTCATTCTTCAATGTAAATATATGTAATGTTATATTAAAAATTATTCTATGATTTCTAACATAGAATTTCTTATAATTTCATAACAAGATAATTATTTTATTCACAATTAATAATCTGAGACTAACCCTAACTCATACTAATTCTAATACTAAATCCACCTTCTAAACTACCACACGATTAATTAATTCTCTAATTTGGGGATTTTTATGATAAACCTAACCTTGCGGTGAAGCCAACCCCTAACTCAAGCAATTTCTCGACGATCTTGTTCAAAGGGTATAATGGTGTCTCAAATGAAAATCTCATAGTTATTACAACACGAAAGGGACCGAAACGTTCTTCCGCTTCATATTTATTCCCGATATCTAACTTAAAATTGCAAAGGGTTAGAGTTCGAATACGAGGGATAGGAGGAGTAGACGTAGAGGGTTAGTGAAAAAGAAAAAACTCGTCGCAAATCTGAATAAATATTTTTTATTTTTTATTTAATTTTTTTTTTAAATAGACAAAAAAAAAAATGACGCGAAACAAATACTTTTAATTATTTATTTACGGGGTTTGCACATTATAACGAAAGCGAGCTTAAATATATAAGGAGAGTTAAAAAAAGGTGACCTATAATTGAACCACTAAATTAGTGACAATGACCTCCAGCACCTCTAACATCATCCTTGTGACAAGTTTCAGAGGGTGCGGTCGGCATCATCGAGACACATGTACACTGACATTTAAGATTACATGTTATCAGTATTACAATCTTCATCAAAGGCGCATTTACTTACGTATGAGAAAATAAGATTAAAAAGACGAAATTTAGAATGCATTGATAATTCATTTCGTAGGATTATATAACAAAAAAAAAAAGAATAGAGATTTTCAGTAAAATTGTATTACATACATGATGATTAAAAATTTTATAATTACTTGAAGTTAATTTTTAAACATTTAAATGTTGATGGAATAAAGGCGCAGTATGAGAAGGATAAAAATATCTCTGTTTTAAGGGCAAAGAGTTTATTTGCAAACATTATATTGACTTGAGAACGATGATCTTTATAAAACAAGGCAATTAAAAAAAATAAATAAATAATATTTATATATGAAAAGACTAATTTCTCCCTTTCAATACCTTATAAGAGTAAATATTAGCCCCTTGTGGTCGCCAATAATAGTCTGCCTGTACTTCATGTGGAAATTCAGAACTGATAACTGGATACTGCGCCTGCGAAACCCATCCCTGCAAATGCAATTAATACCATTTCTATTTATTACAGTTTTTAAACATCTCGTCAATTTTTAAATTAAATAATGTATTGTTTATGTGTGCATTCTTTCTATTAATACATAAAAGTTGGTCGGTCGGAGAGCAATTTACTATATTTATGATTTCGTATATGGTTCGTTGATACTATAACCTTTATTCTCTTTAATCGTTATTATAAATAGGACTTGTTTCATTTCAAATTCTCTCTTAGCAACTTCGAATACTAAAAAAAAAAAAAAAATTAAAATGTATCAACTACGCTTTCTAATTTTTCTTTGTGTGATCTTAGTTCTTACGCATAATATTTTCGCGCAATTCCGGTGCAAAGGCGACAAAGACTGTATAATACCTGGATATAAATGTATCTCATTACCTTCAATTGAAGGATTCTGCGTTGATAAAGCTATATGGATGGTTTTAAACGGACTTAATTGTGACTCTCCAAAGGGAATTTAATGAATCCGTTCAAGTGAGTTTTTTACATTATTATTTAGTATTTATATATATATATATATATATTTATGTATTTTTTTATTAACTTTGTATTACATTATTATTAGAAACGTTACTCTCGACTTAAATTGATGAATTGTTTATATATGTGGTGGGAATAGAGTCAATATCATAAAGTTTCTCAGAACAATTGCATTGTAATCTACATATTGAATTTTCCGAAAGAATTGACCTTTTATTTTTAAAGCTTTCGTGATTGCATAAATTAATGTCCTTTTCATACGAGAACTTTTTTTTTATTATGTGTAATTATCCCTCAATGGTATTGCAGGCAAATTTGCCTGCAAATTTTTTTAATAATTTTAAATTTTATAATACATTTTATGATGTTCTAAGTAAAAAGTTTAAAAAAAAATTTAATTAACTAGTAATTTTTTAAAATTTCGCCTTAATTAATAAACGTGTAATCTTGAATTTATTTACTTGGACAAAAAAAAAAATACTAAGCCATTACAAAGCTAATAGAAATTATAAAGAAGAAGAGTGTTGAAGTTAGATAATTTTACACAGGTGTAATACAATTAATTAACTATTCGAATCAATGGTAATTAGGTTATTTTACTGGAGCTGAAGATATACAACTCGATTACGACCTGGACGTGTCAAATTCATCATAAATATATCTCTCATGCCTCAAAAATGCCCAAGAAACCAATTTAGAAAACACTTCAAAAAAGCTAATATGACTTGACAATATAGATTTACATTTTAGTAGTAACTGGAGGGTGCAACACAAAGAAATTCCTAATGAATCATCACTTTGCATTGTCCACTATGTAGAAACGAGGCACTAATTTATCAACAGGCAATAATTGCGTTCAGGAAAAAAATAGGTTGGGTAGTATACATATATGAGAAATCGATTAATCCACATATATTGTATGTTAATCAAAAAGAGATCTACCACTTTGAGTGCTTTTCATTTTTCATTTGTGAAGATTTATGGAATTTGGTTCATCTTTCAACTTCATCTCTGACAACCTTAGCGTGTGTTCAGTCCAACCATAATACTTGAGTTATGCTAACAGAGTGATTTTGACTCCTCGTAGAATTTTTAGACGTTTACAATAGGCCGTTTTCTGTACGCCAGGTCTGGTAAGCTTTCGCAAACTGTAGCCACAAAGTGCTTCCGGTTCTACAAATCCTAATCTTTTTACACTTTATTCCTAAAGGATTTTAACTTCAGACCTTTGTTATCATTTCTTGTCTATATCTTTTTTTAAGGCTTGGTATAAACCAATTATTAAAATATGGACTCTTGTCAATAGAAATCTATTTAACAGTCACGGGAAAAAGTTTGCTTAAAATTTAAAAATCATAAATTAAAATAACTAATCCTAACCCTTAATAATTATTAAAGGTATCCAACCAATTTTATTTATTTATTCTTTTTTTGAACTGAAAATTAACATATGAATGCCAGAAAATAAAAAGGTCAAAAAAAAATTTTACAAAGTCCAAGATGTAAAAAAGTAATTTTTCTAGAAAGTTCCTTTATGGAATCGTGATCGACATTTTTTTCATTATTTTTTTCATTATAAAATCAATCAGTCGCAAACTATTTTAAAAATTTTTAACTTTTTTTTCAATCATGTCCAAATTATCTTTACAAAATGCCATATTAACATACGAACAATTAGAAACTACACCTTCAAAAAAAGATAATATACCTGAAGAATTAGAAGATGAGCTTCGTAGATTAGGATGCGATTTTATTCAATCTGCTGGAATATTATTACGATTGTAAGTAAATTAAATTTCCTATCTCTATTTGAATTTTAAAAAAGAATTAAATTAGGCGAATAATACATAAATATATGTATGTAACGTATGTATGATTTAGACCGCAGGTAGCTATGGCTACTGCACAAGTACTTTTTCAACGATTTTTTTATGTTGCATCATTAAAAAAATTCTCTGTTAGGGTTTGTGTCAATTTCCTCCTTTATTTTATTTTCCTTTTTGATATACATAACATAACATATATACGTACACTTAAATTTACTTTAATAAAAAAAGGATATAGGTATGGGAGCTTTATTCCTCGCTTCAAAAGTTTCAGAAGCACCATGCAAAATTCGCGATTTAATTAATGTTTATCATTATTTGATAAGAAGTTATTGTGGCAAGCCAATGGAACCTTTGGAATATTTAGGACAAGTAAAGTTTTTTACATTACCTCATATTTTAATTTTATTATTGTTTTTATGAATCTATTTAATTTATTTTACTTTTTATAAAAAAAAAAAAAAAAAAAGACATTTTATGAAATGAAGGATGCATTGGTAATAGCTGAAATGCAAATACTAAAAAAATTGGGATTTAATGTACATGTACAATTGCCATATGGATTAATGGTTAATTATTTAAAAGTATTAGAGTTAACTGATCATGAGACTATTCCTCAAAAAGCGTGGGGGTACCTTAATGATTCGTAAGTAAGAACTTATATCTTGATCTGAATTTTTTTATGATTTTTTTTTTTTAAACGCTTGTTTTGAATGATTTATATAGGTTAAGGACTAATGTGTACGTATGTTATCAACCTGCCACGGTTGCTTGTGCTGTTATATGGTTAGCTGCAAGAATCTCTCAAGTAAAGTTGCCAACTTCACCTCCATGGTGGGAATTATTTGAAGCTGAATTAGAAGATATCCTTTTTGAATAATTTTTACCGAATTTCTTTACTACTCTTTTTTTTTTTTCGTTTAATATTTATTCATAACATCGATTTAATCATTATGGAAAATGGAACTTTTTTTTATTTGTTTTTTTTTTTTTTTGTGAATACATATGGAAAATATAGCAAGACATATCATGAGATTATATGCTATAAGATTACCTTCAAATTTACCACTTTCACTTGATGAATTGGATGATTATTTAAAGAATTATGAAGATAGAAGAAAATCTGGAATTAATTATAAAGATGATGATAAAAATGATGATATTTTGATTTTGTAAAAGTCAAAACTACTACTACTTTCTACACTTTTTATAACATATATAATAACCATCATTACTACCAAGTGTAACAATAATTATTACCATTAAAATGTAGTTTGTTAGAAATTTACTCTCACGTTTGAGATCGTAGTTTGATGAATTAATTTAGATTATGTAGTAGTAAAAATAGAATAAAATAAAATTATAATTTTTTTTTTGTAATTAAAAGCTTCTTATTCCAAACCAAATGGATTATGTCAGGTTTAATTTTGGTTAGAAGATCCAATTTGTCAGAAAATTTTGTGGGAAATGAAAATGTTTTTGTCCATCCAATTTCTTTAAAGAGGTTGGTTAAATCCACCAAGATAAAATTCTTTGAGAATTTAAAGAGCCGTATCAAGTTATTACGAATGAAATAAAAAATAAAAAAAATAAAAAAATAATATAATTATTAAATTAGTTCTAATTAAAGAATTTAACAAAAGAATTAAATAAGTACTCCGGTATCTTTGTGAATTGAATAGTTTGTTTTGACCAATTTTGATAATTTTAACCTGCTTTAAAAAAACCCCCCCAAGATTACGATGAGATTCTCTTTAAAATGATCACAAATTTCTGTAACCTCGAGATAAGAAATTCTCTCACGCACACCTTTGGCACGTATCTAATGATCGTGAGTCGCATCATCATACGATTGATATTCCAGTATCAACAGCCTATACAAAGATGTAATACATAAGGCGTGATTCCAGAAAATTCATTTGATCATTATTTGCTGGGACCGCTTAATCTCCGATATGAAGAATGACAAAGCATCAAAACATGATCTCGCCGGAATGAGAATTACGAGTCGTCAAGTTAAAGGGAAGAGTTGATATAACTTTTCATGACAATCAAACTTTTAACATCAAATCCAAAGAAACACAATATGAATTACTTTCGATCGAATTATTTTCATAACCGAGATTACGAATTGATCAAATAATAGTTGGTGACCTTCCAGTGAGATGGTCCACCTAAAATCAATTAACGGTTCATGTAACAACAAATTATTAAATTATGGTCTAAAAGGGATATGTACATTATGCAGGTATATGCAAATGATACCGAACACTTCAGTAATTGCCACGCCCATACCTTCAATTGCAGTATTTCAAATGTCTTGTTTTCCAAAATTTTCGACTCTCCCTGTCTAAACGCCCTTGACGCTCGCACACATCTCTTGCTCTCAATTCATGTACCAACGAGATATTAAGGGTCGTTTTCACGAGGAATTTCACATTTTAAACAGGGATTTTTTCAAAGTAATTTTCTTTTAGCCTGAGCATGTATTAAAATGTCCGAATGCAAGGATTATTATGGTCACACCAAACGGAAAATCGTCATAATAAGGTAATTATGGTAAATGCATTAAATTTTCCTAAAATATACAGTGATCATAATAATTCCGGTCAAAAAAATAAAAAAAAAAAATAAACTAAAAAAAAAAAGAAAGGAACCTTCTTGAAAGAGATTAAAATAAAAAAAGGAAATACGATAAATTATCATTGCATGTGAAACAAAAAGGAAGGTAAACATTCTACCAATCATGAGCCAATTCACAATTCATAATTCATAACAGGCTTTCGCTCGAACAACTCGTTCGCATTCAAGGCAGGATAGCGCAGGGCAAAAGCTTCCACGTTTGATATGGAGTCAATTTCCATTTTTATAAATGTATCGACCATTGGTTTCATTTTTTTTTAAAAAAAAAGAACCAAGCGAGAGAAACTTGATCCACAAAAAAAAAAATAAAAAAAATGAAAAAGAAATGAAATAAAAAAAGGGGAAAGGGAAAGAAAGAGAAAGGTGACCAAACTTACCGTTTGATGCTAAAAAATTCGAAATGAGAGAGAACAAAAATCGATTGAAAAAAGAAAATTTTCGATAAACTGATTGATCAAATAAAATTTCGCCCAAAAGTCAAAAATAAATCCCATCACGTGAATCAAACGTACCAAGGCGTTTGAACGTACAGTTTGATGAATTAGATCTAAAATTTGGCTCGATGGAGCTTATACGGAGTTATTAAATATACTTAGAAGGGATGGATTTACTAGTTTTATTTCAAGTAATGGATAAAAAAAAAACCTGATGATAATATATGTTATATACAAGTTTATAATTTAAAATTTTTTTTTTTTTTTTTTAATCTATAATAATTTTCGGCCTTTTGCAGATAAGATAGATAATTTTTTTTTTCTTTTGGTTAAGGCCTTTTTTTTAATTGTGAAGAATTTACTTGTAAAGAAAATTCTGAAGAACTTTAAATTTACAATATATGCATATATTTATTTATATGTGAATATAAAGTTGAAATGATTGTGATGTAAGAATGAAAAGATCACATAAACGAATACATTGAAATCAATTGCATTATCACACATTAAGAAAGCATAAATAAATTTTCAAGCGAATATGTGAAATATATAAAAAACGGATTGTGACAAAAAAAAAAAAATAAGGGGACGAAATACATTGTGCAAGTTAAACGGAGGATTAATCAATACTTTTTGAATCCCTTGAATAAAAAAGTTAGTTTGTAAATTAAGAATTGCCCCTTTAAAAAATAGTTAAATGGTGACCGCAGCATGTGCATCTAAGAAATATTAATATTTTCTTCAAATATTTTGCAAGGTAAAGGGAATCTCATCGAAAACGAAAGGGAGAGATTTTTTCCAAGAGAGGTCCGAGGGTCAGGATGAACCTCCAACGAGCAGGTGCAGGGAAATAATCCAAGAGAGGGAGATAAGATTCGGATAGGGGCACGCCTAGGAAATAAATTAGTTAAAATAACTCGTATGACGTAACATCTCAGATTACGAGCGAACGCGAAAAGAAGGATGCTGCGGATTTTATTATCGGTCACAATACGCAATAGGGAACAAATAAACCCGTCCCAACCATGACATGAGAATGTTGTGACCTTCTCGAACATTCCATCAACAATGAGGGACGGAGATGAGTTAACACGTTTTGGGAAGGGGGTTTTTTTTTTACTTTAAACATCGCGTAATATAATTATTTACTGTAAATAGAAATGGTTAAATTTGGGAAATAAATAATCCGAAATGAGGGGATACAAACTCAGTTTCTTAATTTAAAAAAAAAAAAAATCTTGTTTGGAACCGGTGTAATAGGTTTTTTTATTTGCGCCTCCTGGAATCCTTGCACATGTAATTGGCAATATTGAACCCATCGGCATTTATTCAACATTACACACATATATTTATTTAAGATCACAACCTAGATCATTATGATCAAACAGTGTAAAAAAGTTTATATTAATTTAAAGTTTCAAACAATTTGTTTGGTAATAAATTCAAACAAATACACTAAAAATCGAAAAAAAAAAAGTTATCACATTTAAAGTAGAAAATTTTTTTTTTTTTAGTGTGATAGCTTGCGAAGTTCTTTAGTCCATATTTAGTTGTTTAAAATTACATGACAAATAAGTTTATCGTGTTTTAGGTTAATTATATAGTCTTAGTTTGTTTTATATCTCGGAATATTTTATGCCAAACGCGCTCTTTGTCTCACATTTATTCCCAAGAATGTATCAACCTGAAACACCAATTATTTCGCCTTCCGTCCTTTGTTGTTTATTATGTATGTTGAGTTTATCAATACACCTTATGATCTTTTACAGCCTTTCGCATTTGGGAACTATCAAAGACACGTTTTTGAACGATTCATGCAACTTTGCAAAACGTAGGCTCATAACTACTACTTTACTTTCCTGTGGTTTTACCATAAAAGTAAATCTATAATTTAACATCATCTTTATTTTTTTTAATTCTATTTTTATTTAGTGCCTCTATTTTATTATTTATTACAAAGAAAAAAATTTTTTTTTACATAATAAAATATTATTTTTTAATTTATTCGTATAACATCTACAACCCCTGATCTTTAATGGGTAAATAAAATATAGCTGTTTATTTTTTTGCTTTAAATAATATAAATTCTCCTCTCTCTTAAAAATATTAATAATAATAATAATAATAATAATAATAAATATAAAGAAAAATAATTAGGAACATGTAAATGGGAGGGGCCTCTTCTTTTTCTTTCTAAAAGGAATTAATCCCGTTAGATTATTGGAATCTATAAATGTAGATATTAAAAAAATTTCGGGGGTCATACATAGGGGACCTGCAATATGTCTTATTATAATAACCAAATTTATGCATATTAAAGATGTAATAAATTTAAAGATGCATATTTATTTTTTTTATATATATTTCAATGTTTTTTAAATTTTTTTTTTAATTTAATCTTAAATCATTAAAAACTTGTTTGATAAATAAATTGATTTACATGAACCTTTTTTTATTATGTAATAAATCAAAAAGGTGTTCGTGTGATATCAGGAAGAAATCACTAAAATCTAGTCTTAACTAAATACTTTCAACATTATGTAATTTTTTAAGGGGGTGGGAAAATTGATTTTCTATTATGGCATAAATTGAAAGGGGGGTAAAAAAAAAGCTACGCCAAAAAACCCTTTTTGTTTGTTTTTATTTTCGTTACATAAGTACCCCGAGTATTCTTTGACCCGGAGATTTATCGGTCAATTCCATTTAGTACCAATACTTCAATTATAAACAGATTTTTTTTGTTTATGTGTTATTCAAAACGTGAGTCGGCAATTTACCCTATGGGACTAATAATTGACATCAT